ATTTTGTTGTTATTTTTGTTAATAATTGACTACATTTTAATGACAGGACGTATTGTAATGTAATATTACTAAAGTTGATTTAATTTTATAAAGGAAAAAGAGGAAAGGTATTAAAAATAACATTTTAATGGCTATAAATTGTACCATATTGAGAGTCGTAATCTGTCAATAAGATTCGCTAACTTAGTGTGCATATTATTAATGAATATTTTATTATTTTTTCATTATGTGTAGTATAGTAATGAGTCATGTAGGTTATTTAAAACAAAATATTTTTAATAAATTATAATTAAACATAGTAGTCAAAAATAAAACAATATTTTTTTTCTATTTATTTATAAAATTACAAAATGTATAATGAAATGAAAATATTTAATTAGTTTTCTGTCTTTTCAGTTTCGGTCGTACTTCTTCTTCGTCAATAGAACTTTCTAATTCTGAAGTATCTTCGTAATCTGCAACGTCTTCTGGGTCTTCAAATTCGACGTCTCGATTTGTTGCTGGCTCTTCATAAATAATTTCCTCTGAATCGCTCATTTCTTCGAACGTTTCCTTGTCTTTATTCGAACAATTTTCATGACAGTTGCTACATAAGTTAGTGCATTTTAAGCCATGTTTTCGACAGCCACATCTTTGATTATTGCAACCACTTTCACAGTTGCAACTTATGCATTTTAATAATTCTTGGGGAATTAAGTCGTAATCGTCTGAGAGGTATTTGGGAACAAGTCTACCTACATGTTCCTTCCAGCCCCATGCTTTGCTTTATTGTTATCGAGTACGTCGTCCAAATAACTTAGCCAAGTTTGCAACTGATAGTTCAGAGATTTCTGCCTCCGCCACGCTCCGAGCGAGACGTAAGTCAACTTAATTTTAAATCATATCTCTAATCATCAAACAAATAAAACACATAGCCTAGTCTTTTAATCGCGACATGTTTCGTACTGTATGATAATCTACAGTCTTGACTTAAAATATAGATGGTAGCACGATGCAGAGGCGCAACTCAATCGGTAGTTCGTTTTGACGATATTACGATTTTGCTTTCTCATCTTTACTGGTAACTGATAAAAGATATTTACCCTTTCATCGTTGTATGTCACTGTAATAATATATAAGAAAAAAAAAATTGATTATTTAAGTTAATTTATTCATTTATTATTATTATAAATTAAAATCACAGTTTAAAATAATTTCAAATAGTTCCAAACATTTTCAACCTTTAATATAATCTTCTTCAGTAAATCCTACATTGTAATACAAATTGAACATTACAATTCAAATATATAGCTTTACAGTTATTACAACTTCTTCATGTTTGTATCCTCCAATATTTACAATCAGAAATCCATAATTAGTTCCTTGATATTCAAATATTATTTAAATATGTCATTTAAATATTTATTAGCATTTATAATAGACTGTTCTTTATATCTTGTAATATTAAATAACATCTGTACTGAATGTTGTAAGAAAAGAAATTTGTAAAAAAATATTCAATCTTCTGGTAAAAAAATTCATAATATATTTCTCATATTGTTTAAAAAATTTTTAATTTAAATTTATGAAGATTTCTGAAAAATACTTCGTAACTTTTTGAAGATGGCAGGTTTCTAATAAAGAAACTTAAAAGAAATCTTGTTTTCTAATAATGAATTTGATTGAATATTCTCAGTATGCGCATTGATAAACATTAAAGTTCTCATACACAAATTGACTTAAATGTGTTTAATATAAATATAAAAATTATTTAAACCGTAAAATTGTCAATTCATTTTATTATATTGTTAAATAAAAATGTATTTTACAATTCGAAATATTTGCATTTCACTTTTACACAACTTTAAATCAGAATACATAAACTTTAATATAGTTATCATCAGGGTCATCTTAAAAATTAATTCAAACAGCGTATAATTTCGATCGATCTTTTATTGAAAATTTGTATCGAAATTTGTATTGAATTTCGTGGGTCAGCCGCCTTCAATTGGAAGAATCCGTTCGATCTAGAGTCGCAATTGACACAGGACGAAATCCTGATGAGGAATCAGTTTCGTTCCTACTGCCAGGAGCAGCTCCTGCCGAACGTGATCGAAGCGAATCGAAAGGAACACTTCGATCGGGAGATTGTAAAGCAGATGGGACAGCTCGGGGTGTTGGGCTGCATCATGAAGGGCTATGGCGGCGCCGGGGTATCCTCAGTGGCTTACGGGCTCCTCGCCAGGGAAATTGAGAAAATCGACAGCGGGTATCGATCGGCGTTCTCGGTGCAATCCTCTCTTTCGATCGGTGCGATCTACATGTTCGGCAGCGATACTCAAAAAGAACGATTTCTACCTAAAATGGGTGCGTTCAAGCGTTTCTTAGAATAGAATTCTAGGATAGTATTACGTTCTCTAATTTCTAAATCGTATAATTAATACAATAACTTTGAGAATAAATTAATTTTATTGAAAAGGGGAGCATAAAAACAACGCAAGTTTTAATGAAAACATATAATTAGTAATTATTATTAAATAATAATAATTGTAAAATTAATAATAATTATTATTATTATCGTGATGGAGGATCAATCATAGTTGAAGATTATACTTCACATAGGTATTGATTACTTGACTGACTAATTAATATGTTCTTTTATATATAAACCATATAATCATCAACGATTTGAAGTTGTAAATATTAAATTATTATAAATCTTTTATCTCTAACAATATAAGTAAAAATTTTTCTATTGTTGTGAAAATCATAGGTTATTAAGATACAAGATAATTAATAACTATTCTAAATTGTGTAAGACTATTATTCTAAATTGTATTAAAAAATTACCAGATTCTAGAATTTTATATAATTATTTATTTTCGATAACTATAAGAAACAAAGCGGAAATAAAATATTTAATTTTTACATTACTTCTGAAAATTAGATCGACAATTAGATTAATTAATACAATTGTATAAGTTTGCTAGTAAAATTGATTGAATGACGATTACCGTTGGAATTGTGGGCGATAGCTTTCAAAGTGTATTTCAGTTTCCGGGGAAAAGATCGGTTGTTTTGGCTTGATGGAAAAGAAATTATTTCTTCTAGCATTCTTTCTCATAAATAAGAAATTAATAAATATTCTGTTATGTATCTAATATCTAGAAATTTCAAACATACGGTCAGTAAATCGTTTGAGAGAAAAATTTTGAATCTTGGAAGACACTCATCTATCATTCGAGGTCAATCATGGATATTTTTGTAATTTTACCGAATATTAATGCATATCTTGCGGAAATGTTAACTACATTGGAACATCTGAAGATGGCTTGATATAAAGCCGAAACATGTACTGAAGCTTACTAACGTTCAATTAAATTTTTATTTTTTTAATTCTGTGACATATATATATTTTTAACGTTTTATTTGATTCTTATATGTCCTTTACAACATTATTTGAAATTTTATAATATTTAAGAGTCTTATGAATCTTTTTATTGTTATAAATCATAGACATTATATAATAACTCCGCAAGAAAAGAATTATTAATCTGGGAACATTAAAAATTATCGGTTTTCCTAGAAGGTAAAATATTTCCTGGTAATATATTACGTTAGTTATTCAGATTAGACTTTCCTTGCTTCGCTTTTTTTAAGTGTATTTTACCTATTCTCATCCTTCAGTCTGCCGACTCGTAAGCAAGCTTGAAGACCGATCGCGACGTCGCACATCATGTCCGCCAGTTTTTTCTGTACAAGCTGATTCGCCACCAGCGGTTTTTTAAATTGTTTCCTCTCCAAAGTGTAAGATCTAGCAATGTTCAGGCAAGCTTCTGCCGCGCCTAACGCACCCCAGGCGATGCCGTATCGTGCATTGTTTAAGCAACTGAATGGTCCCTTTATCAAGTTCTATTATTAGATATCCTAAGCTACGCGGAATATAATCGTAATTAATGCGATCATCTCGTTTTTTGTAGTTGTTGACTTCATTTTTAATATCTATATTTTTTAAATTTCAAACGATAATGATAATCACGGTTATAATAATAATAAATAGCCAATTGTGTGATAGTAACTAATAGTCAATTAATTAAATAAGGATATAACTGCCTTGACCAGTATAAAACACTGAGTTTATTGCATTTTCAGGAAAAAAAAAGATAAAATCCAAAGAAAAACAAATAAATAAAAACAATATATTTATATTTTTTGACCGCATATTTGACAAACTCAATTAATACTAGAAATTTAACTGCCTACGGTCGGAGCTGTGTGTGTGTGGATCTTCGTTGCTTTTTAATAATTCAATCTTGAATTACTAATATATACTATATATGTACTTGCGTATATACCATATTGTAGTCTTTTTCTAACTGCGCGCCGAATTGTTTTTCCGGACTAAATAAACGCAATTAAAACTACTATAGTAATCGCGAATTAAATTGACAACCAATTTAATAATTTGATGCTACCATCAAGCATCATATATTATAAAGATGTTAA